CATGAACAGCCACATCAGTCTCTCAGTGGAAAAAGGACCACAGAGCTCCAGACATTTTGCAAACCAAGGTGGTCAAGGCCACAACCAAAGCAGAGCTGTTTGTCTCTTCAGATACCTCAAGAAGTGCAAGGAGTGCAAACATGTGCCTTTCCTGGGATTACTGTCCTCTAGGGACTGAACTACCGTGTAGAAACACAAGTAGAAGATCTAAGAATAAAGCAGAAGATCTAAGCAAAGAAACAAGTGGAATACCTAACTAAAGAATCCAACAGGGTACTCTGAATTTGCATCTTAAACATTTCTTTCCACGCCACGCTGTAGAAACACAATGGAAGCAGACTTGGCAAATACCATCCATATGTTGCACAAAACGACTGAGGGAGCACAATGTGAACTTTACTCCTGGACTGGATCAAGAGAACGCATTAAAAGAAATGCGTAAGTGGAATATAGATATACATGAACTCAATGTTTGCTTATTATGGAATTAAAAAACGTATACCTGTAATTATGGCTTACCCCCATTACAAGCAGAGCTGCCACAGAACTGAACACAGGCCAGCTTTGTGCAGGAGTTCAAAGCCAGTGTGATGTTGCCTTATTTTCTTACTAACATCATCTTTATCCTCTCTTGCCCTTCTTCTCAGTTAACAAGAGTTATGTACTGAAAGTGCTGAGATAAAGTAATGGTAAGGAGGATACCGCAAAAGGTATTTGAAAAGCAGAAGTAATTTACTACATGTCTGCTTTGTTTTACTTCCTAAGCCTTCCTGTTGTGAAAGGAAATTCATCTTTTCTGGCAGACTCCAGCCTTTTTAGGTCGGAGAGCTCCCCAGGAGCTTTCGAGTGCAGGTAAATGGATGTGAGACTCAAGGAGTACAGCACAAGGAACATGGGATTAATGCTGGGGTTTGCTTTGGCTGTCACATCTGAAGTACAAGGGGACTGCTGCACCCTTGGTCACAGGAAATTTCTGCAAAATAAAGAAAGCTGAGTCCTTTGCTCATCTCTGCAAGCCCGATGTGCCACGAATGGAGAGGTTGTGCTGCTGGTGGTGGGTGAGGATCTACACGGAGGATCTACACCCAGCAAAGTCTCAGCGTGAGACAGACATCAGGGAGCCTCAGCAGAGCAAGTGAAAGCCCAGAGGAAGGGCTGTGGATGGACAGTAGGTGCAGCCTGTATCCTGCACACAGGAGCAGGCACGGGGGAAGCATCCACTGCCTAATCTAAATAGCACACAGAGTGGTTTTGTCCTCTCCTGTTCTCCGGCCAGTTTGCACATATGTTCTGAGCATACAGCCTGCCCTCCAAAGACCACTTACAGGGGCAATCACAGGGAAGCAAAGCAGGAAGAAGAGTATCCAAAAAGGGAATTTGTTCAAGAGAAAGAAATGGAGACAGATGTAGAGCGACTAGTCACGGCTGGCGGTAAATAACCCTCTGCCTGGAGTGCTCCCTTTCTCCAAGAGGAGTTCACATATTCCGTTTCATACTTCCTTTCTAGGAAGTCAAATCTTTGTTTTCCTGGCATTTGTTCTTTTCCCCTTCTGTATGGTCTAAAGCTGCTTTCTCATTTTCCCCTTCTCTTCTAGGTTTTGCTCTCTTTGAAGTGCATTTCTTCCATCTCCCTCTCACACACCCCTGATTTCCCTGCACTGTCCCAGGCCACACCTTTCACTACCACCCTCTCCCAGGGCCTGTGCCACCAGCACGTGTGTGCTTCACACCTGCTCCAGCGTTTGATTCTCCCCTCTTTCTCATGTGCACACCTCAAAATTAAGCAGATGCGACACACAGAGATGGAATATTCATCCTCTCGCTCCCATAAACCTGTCAAGGCATATAGGCCAAGGAGCTATCTCTGCATAAATCTAAATCTCCTGTGAGGAAGCAATCTACTCAAAGGCAATAAAGGCAAAGGATGTATTATTATCTTTGGTGTGGATCCTACTGGGCTGGGAGGTTGGCTGCTGGCTCCTCTCTGAACTTTCCTTCCCAGCCAGAGCAGCCATCCCACAGACAAGTCTAAGCTTCCTTTCCTTGGTCTGATTTCCTCCTCCTGTTGTTTGGCCAGTAACCCAAAGGACAGGGTTTAATTATGGACTTTGGAAACCTGGCTTGCACTGCTCTGCCAGCACGGGATAAAACCTCAGCCTGTCTTCTGAAACAGCACCACTCTGCACTGCTGATACCTGTGTTATCCCACACAGCACCAAATGAGCTGCAGGGAAGAAATGCCAAGTTAAACAAAAAGATGGGTTTAGTCTTTAAACTTCTACTGCAAATTTCACCGAGAAGAAAACAAAACACCGAAGCTCAGAGATTACTGTACGCTAAAAAACTGTGCCACCATTTTGATTGTAGATTAAATAAATGGCAAGGCCTTTCTCTGGAAATAAAGACATCGGAAAGGATGGATCTGAAGCTGGTCCAGGCTCCAAAGCTCCCTCTCAGAGAGGACTGCTGTGGAAAGCCCCCAGCTAAAATGGGATGTTAACATCACTTGTACAGTCTTCAGGTGACCAAATAATCTTCTAGGCAGACGCCCCACTAAAGACTCCTCTGGAGGTGAAACCCCCGTGTCAAACACAAAAGGCCACACGTTAGTGTCACACCCCGTGTGATGTCTGTGCATGGACCACAGCAGGACGTGTCACCTCGGGCCAGTGACACACCAGTGCTGCCCTGGCGGGGAAGGGCACTCAGCACTGCTTTGTCCTTCACCACTGATGAGCTGTGGCTCTTCAGGCAATCCCTCTGTCAGCCGTGCTCTTGCAGTGACCCTGTTTCACAGAGAAGCTGAGGCAATGAATTCAGAGGACAGGCTGCTGGAAAGCCAGGGCAGAAGCACTGGGGTGGGGCTGCGTGGATTCAGCACAAGGATGGCTTGGAAGTGCATCCCACGTGGGCAGGATAAAGAAAGCTCTTTTTCTTCACAGCTGTGACAGTGATAGATGGCTTGGTGAATCTGAGCTATATCTAGTTGGTACCTGGCTACAGTCCCTGATGCTGCAAGGTGATTTTCTGCCATTTTAGAAGCAAGATTAAGCAGAATCTGGGATTTTTCTATAATAAGTGAGGAAGGTCATGAGGAAGGAAGAACCTTCTCTTGTCTGACTTGCTCTTGCCTTTCTGAGCACCTCAGGAAGTTTGACACAGGCAGCTGTGCTTCCTCATGACGGGCACCCAGTGGTGCCAAGAGCAGCAGAGGCGCTTTGGAGGTGTAAGGCTTTGGGTACTTCCCTTGCCCAGCTCAGCAGCTCAGTGCCACCATCAAGTCAGGGCTTGGATGAGCCAGAGGTAATGAGCACATGTGGGGAAAACCACCAGGAGTGACAGCAGAATTAATAGCCAACCTCTGGCTGCTGCACAAATGGAGAACATTTGTCATTAACAACGAGTACCCCAAACTTTGGGGGCAGGTGTCCCCCGGCCTGGCAGTGATGCAGAAGCAGTGACCCCACCAGTTTTCAGCCATCTGTGTCCACAGAACAGGCTGGGATCTCTCCCTTTAAGCCGAGCTTTTGTCCGCGTTTCTTCCGCTCCGCGAGCAGAGGTTTAGCGCGAGGTGAAGCTCTGCCTTACATCATCCGGAGCCTGGAGCTGATGGAGGGGACAGCCCCCAGAGCTGGGGAGCAGGACACCTCAGAGCAAACACCAGAGCCCTGGGGACGGCGGTGGCAAGGCAGTCACGGGGAGCCTGGCACTTGTCTGCCTGCAGGTCCACCCTCTCCTCCTGCCAAAGTGGCACATCTGCAGTCAATAAGGGCCCACAAGCTGGATCCTCCTCATTAGAGGAGAGAGGGCAGCTGGCAGGGGATCCTCCAAGGGCTCCCAGGCACAGGAATCAGTCTCCTCCCAGTCTGGAATAGCCCAAATTTGGTGACTTTCTGGGCATGCTGTAAAGGACAGCTGTTTGACAGGGTCTCCAGAGAAAGCTGTGGGTATGTTTCCTACATGATGAAGGATATAGGTGGCTGGCCAAGTGCCCACAGAACTGATTTTAATGCTGTGCAGGTCGAATTTACTTTTCTGTGCTCTATAGTTCATTATACACAGTGCCCTGGACAAGCATGTGTTTTTTCCAAACAAACCAGACCCATACTATTTTAAATCCAGACGAACAAGAAAGACAAAAAACACGTATTGCAAAAGGTCCTTTGCACTTTTAGAGGACCTTCCCAAACCCTGTGAGGCACTGCTTGCCTTCCTCTAACAAATAAGACTTCTGTTATTTTTATTGGCAATAAATACTTGATTATTTAGCTGTAAGCAACACTGAGGCATTAACTTCACCTGTGCACATAACACTGACACAGAAAAATATTTCCAATAGTATTAAACACCCAGATGATCTCAGGATAAGTGATCAATGGACAGTTAAGTATGTAACGTAACATAACCCAAAAAAATGATCGACGGGAAAGATCACACACAAAAATTAACTGAGAAGAGGCCAAAGAGCTTCCTCAACATTCTGAAGTGTAACAGCCAGTGATGTCTATTTTGATATGAAGCCTCCAATCACACTTCACAGCATTACAGATTAATAAAACAACTCCTTCTGTAAGTCTCTTAAAAGTCATTACTGAGTGATCTCAAGTGTTGTATAATCCTTGAAAAGTCCTTCTACCTTATATAAGTTTAGGGATATTTATTTAAGCAGCGTAACTGATGGAGCACAGCCCAGGCAGGTACTGCTTTTTTGCTAGAAAAAGCTATCCCAGAACTGAATCTGGACAATTTGACAGAAAAAGACCGCCTATCTTCCTCTGCATTATTTAAATACTTCAGATATTTGGCCAAAACACAGAAGTGACACACTACAGAAACATTCACAGCTGCAGGAGCAATAAAACCACTGCCACATTTTCATGAGGCCGTTTCTCGGAAGTGACGAGACGTCTAGAACTGGTCACCTCTCTAACACAGCAATTCTGATAACGAAACAGAGCAAGTGGAGATGATGTTCTGGGGCTCTGGGAGCCGGGGCTTACCTGGCTCCACTTCATGCCATCCACTGGACTGGCTGCCACTGCCCGGAGAGCGCCCTTGGCTTGTGTAGAACGGCTCCTCACCAGGGCTGTCCATCTCATCCTCCACAGACTTGAGACGTTTTGTGGAGCTGAGAATGCAAGAAACACATCATGAAGGCATGGAAGAGGAACCCAGGCACTGCTGTTGGGACATGCTTGAGAATAACTCAAGGTGGAACAGATTTGTTGTTTGGTGAGATACAAAACAACATTTCACAGGCCAAACCCCTAAACAAGCACCAGTTTGACCAGAAGTTAGTCTGACATTTAGGCTTTCACAGATTCAGAGTAGGACATTTTTCAAAGCACGCAGAGGTTAGTAGAAAGGCAAGAATTTCATTTGGATTGCGTGGTTCTTGCAGTTTGAATGAATATGGTGATGACACACCAGACTTATTTTCACCGCCAGATTTTTTCATGGCTAATTCTGAAAGCAAATTGTTTATCAGTTCAAACTTTTATTTTCAATCTTTTCAATTAGCTCAGACTTCAGTCCCATAAGAAGGAACACAGGCAAGTGAATGATGGAAGAATCCATTCCTGGTTCAAATGTTCACGTTATCCTACAATAAGAAGCATTTGAGTCTGCAGCTGTGCCAGCAAGCACAGAAAGCCCCCAATGGGTATCTCTGGCCAGTGTCAGCATTAAAGAATCCCCCTGTGAGACATCACACCTCCCTCACCAGAGGCTCAGGACACAGAAGAGCCCTTTGAGTGGTCTCTGGTGGCTGCTGGCTCCAGCAGATCTGCAGGGAGAGGATCCCAGAGCCAAAGACACTCAGCTTGGCTCTGTTTTCCATAATGAGTTGCACAGACTGTGTGGGGACCTTACTGAGAATTTCTCTTCTAAGTACTTTTCCAAGGCTGGGCCAGCTCAGTTTTTTTTTTGGTTTTTTTTTTTTTTTTTCTTTTCCCCCAAATCTGTATTCTATTAAGACTTAAAGCATTCAAGAACAGGCTCCTCTGTGTAGGGAGAACACATTTAACAGACATAAAATCTTCCACTCTTGGTTTAGAGCTTGCAGCCTCCCCACCCCAAGCTCTGCACAGGTAGGAGCTGGCGGGTGTGCAAAACCAGTTGGTGAGAAACAGGAAGAATAAGTCTTGTGGAATGTGTGGAATGCAGGTTTGGCCATTCCTTAATTTAGAGAATTGTTATGTGTCAATAGGGGAAATTGTGTGCATACAATATAATTACCGCCTGATAATTCTGCTGAGTCTGTGTATTTAAAGAATTTTTTTTTTTTTCTGACTGGGAACAGCCTAATGAGAGGAAAACAAACATATTACCAAGTTATTAACTACCCATGCTGTTTATAATTAGCTCCTTATCAGTGGTAGCTATTTGCAGAAGAATAGAAGAGCAACAACTGAGCTCTTAAGTAACATTAATAACCTCACTTTTGCTTCTGGAGTCACCAGTAAATTCTACCTGAGAATGGTGCTAATGATGAGTGCTGTAGGCTACACAGTTTACAGGCAAGAAAGAAACAGCACAAAGTTTTTAATTGATGCGTAATGGGAATTGTAGTCACTGAGCTCCATAACGTGCACACTAAGTGCAAGACAGAATGTTCTTCCAATCACTGCAAGCTGTAAGAAGTTACAGCTAAGAGCCTCTCGTTAAAGATTATTATTTTTAAAATAAAAACAACAGCTATATTCAAACTACAGAGATTTTTCACACGTGCACTTGCTCACTGCAAAGCTGGTGGCACTGCAGGCTGAGATAAAAATGTAAAAGAGCGTTAGGCAGGAGTTAGACTTTCTTGTCATGTCTTTGAAATAAGTGATCTATTTTGGCTGTGGGGGAAAAAAAATCAATCTGGTTCCTTAATAGTGTTCAAGACTACTCGAGTGACTGAGCTTGTTTATAAATCTAATCTCATGGATGATTAAAGTGAAAGGTAAAAAATAAAAAATATCCTTGTTTGATAGTTGGCATCTAAGTCGAAATCAAAATCAGATGGGGCAGTCATCTGCATTAGCAATTTGGTTTTCCAAAGGCTGAGTCACAAACTTCTAAATGCTTTATGAAAACTAAATGCTTTATAGACGAAGATCCTAAAACAGCCTTAGTCTCACAGGCAACACTTTTTACAATAAGGAATACATGTAAATCTATCTTAAGACTTTCCTTGCATCTTACTATGCTCCAAGTTCTCTTCTGCCACAAGCTGAAACTCAGCAATTCCAGTGGAACTTCTCCTGATACACCCAGGTCCAACCAGGAGCTACACAAGTCCATGCAGCAGTTTCTCTTAGAGGCTTGCACACACAAAAAGAACTTTACTGCAATCCAGCTGAACATTCAGCTCTGAGCATCTGAAACAGCTCCACATCGTGAGGCCCCCAAACAGCTTGTCAGAGAATTTAATGGTTACTTTCCCAGATGAGTAATGATGCTGGCCTGGGTTTCCAAGGAACCTGGTAGCAGGCAGAGATTAAATTACCTGGTAGAGGATGTGCTAGGTAAAGACCTCCTCATTGCTCCTGGGCTCATGCTGTAGTACGAAGAACTTTCCAAATCTGAGAGGGAGAAATTAGGGCCTGTTCCTGCAGCTATCGGTGCTGGGGAAACAAAAGAGATTGCAGTCAGTTAGTCATGTGAATATGGCATGAATTGCACTTCAAAATCACTTTCTTCTTCCTCATGGGTGTGTTTAGTTTCACGATGGGAACAGGTGGGATGTGGAAATTAGGAAATGCTAATGGTACCTGGCATTGCAATCAAGAAGATGGAAATTTTATCAAGAATACAATGTTCCATGACGTAGAATCTCTCTTACGTTCCTCCAAAGATATTATTATTATTATTTTTTAAAATTAAACAATTACGGCACGACTTCCTCTAAGCGCTGCTTTTCTATTAATGTCATTCCAACGTTTAATGAAACTTGTTGCTTTTAGGACCACGTTGTCTCTATTGGCATGGTTACAGATAGGCTGCATCATCCCTGCAGAGTGCTTGGCAGATCGATAAGCTGCACAGGCAGGGAAATACACACCTCAGAACCTCTGGGGTACACGTGATGTACAGCCACAAGCACAGAGGTTAAAAAAGCAGGTGAGAAACTTGAGTTCTTTTCTGCCTAAGAGCATCTGAGCTTTCCTCTGGCCTCTCCTCCAGCTAAATCAGACCTAGAGACATATGGCTCCCCAAAAGTTTTATCCAGCAGTGACCTTCCACTCTTCACCTCATCACCTTACCCAGCAGTGAAATTTTTCTTGCAAGGGATACAAGAAAAATTTCTGCCCTGGATCTTTGGTTTCACATTAAATCCCTGCAATTCCCCTGCCCTGGATCTTTGGTTTCACATTAAACATCACAGATTCCTACACACCCTGAAATTTGCAGGCACAAACCATGAGCTCCACGTGCTGTATTCTTCCGGGAGCAGACAAGGAGCAGAGCAGCTTAATGTTGAACCCAGCAGAGAATGGATTTTGTGCCGAAATGCAACTAATACAGCAAATGGTACCATGTCCACTGTGGCTGTTCCAGTGCTATTCACAGGACAATGCAACTTCGGGGGCTGACAATCACAGATTGTGAGTTCCCCTCATGTTTCAGAGCCATCTGAAAAAGGACATCCTGCACAATGGAACGCACCAGCTTGGCCTGGGCTGCATTGTCTGAGAGCCACAAAGGCAAAGCGGTCTCAGTGCCACACAGGGATGCTGAGCCAAGTTTAATCTTTGGTCTGAGAATCTGGCCCATTTTCAAACATGAAAAAAATCTTTCAGTCCAACGGGGAAGGAGTGAGGAAATGAAGACAGGATAGCTCCTATCACCCAGCTAACATGTCTGGGCTGGGAGTGCTGCCACTGACTGTAACGGGGCCAGTATTTCACCCCAAGTCTTAAGGAGCTCACAATGTCAGATTTGACAGAGGAATAATGTAGCTTTGCAGCTGCCTCATCATCCCCACAAGACAATTAGTTGTTGTTTGGCAAGGATCTTTTAAGAACGTCATTGAGACAGAAAGGGAACAGCCTGGATATCCACGGACTTTTAAAAGCCGGGGATGGAAAATGCACAAGGCCATTAAAACTTGAGAAAATCTGGAATGGTCATTAAAAGGAATTAAGTTGGGAAGTAATTTATGACAAGAACACTCAAATCCTTTGTTATCTTCTCTTAACTATCATATGCTTCCTGCACACTGGGTATATGAGAGGTTGTGTTAACAGAGGCAAAGAAAAATTAAGCACAGTAAAATTAACTCATTTTATCAATTTGTGCTTTCTGCAACAGTTTCCTGACAGCAGCTACAAGAGGCTGTAAAACTGATGAATTTGCATGGAAAAAGAAACCGGTGTAAGTAATTTGTGTAAAAGGTAACAGGGACATGGACTGCTATAATTCAGACACCCTGCAGATAGCAGACTGCTGCAGTGTGTGCAGTTATGGGTTAGAAAAATGACCACACTGCAGTCAGTCTGACTTGAATGGAAATCAATCATAAAGGTACTCTCTGCAGCATCTACTCTACAGTTTTCAGCAACTTCCTTGCCAAACAGATTTGTGCTCTGCAAACCCTTTCCTGAGCAATTCCTCTGCACTCTCTGCCTCCCAAACTTACAGGTTAAGCACACAGTTTTCCAAACAGGAACATAAAAAGGCAAGCACTAAATTAAAGCACTGTTTCTTTCTAAGGCACAATGAACTTCCTGGACATTGCCAGATTTATGAAACAGTTTTATTCCAAGGAGATAAGGAAGAAAAAACTGGTATGTGGGTAACGCTTCCCTTCTTTCTTTCCTCCTGCCCTGTTTATTGCCCTTTCCCCAAATCCTGGACATTTCTTGAGTTGACCCTATAGAAAAAAGGAATGTGTGTTCAGAGCAGGGCTAGGGTAGCAACAAGGTATTGCTGATGCTGTGTAAACTCAGTGCAAAGCAGAAAAGGCTGACCCCACAGGGGTTGCTGCCTGGGTAGCAAACACTGAGGATGCTGTGCTGGTCACTGGCCAAAACCACCTCGCCACACTCAAATGCCAGTTTGAAACCAAGGGGTTAAAGAACAAAACTCACCTTTAATAGACACCAGCAGAGGTTAAAGGGCCTGGCTGGGCTGTGGGGGCCAGTTCCTGAGCCCTGTGGCACTCCTTGCACAGGAGCCACCACCCTGCCACCACCAGCTCAAGGTCTCTGGCCCCAGAAGTGCTGTGGCAAAGGTTGCAAGGGGTTGAGCTGTTCCAAAACCCCTTCTCCTGCCTTTCTGACAGTGCCTGTCTTCCACCAAAGCCTATTTGTACCTTTGCTTGCAGTTATTGCATTTACTGCCATAAATCACAACAGCGTGCTGCAGCTGTGTCTGCCCCATCCCTGGGAGTGTCCAAGGCCAGGCTGGAGCAACCTGGGACAGTTGGAGGTGTCCCTGCTGGAATGAGATGGGCTTTAAGGTCCCTTCCAACCCAAACCATTCTGGGATTCTATGACTCCCAGCAAAGGCAGCATCTCTGCAGAGCATGCAAGGGGATCAAAGTGGTGCAAACTGTGGCAAAACTCTTGTCTAAACTAAAGAACTCTGTCTAAACTAAAAAACTCTGTGAGAGCTAAAAATCTTTCCTAAACCAAACCTGTTCCTTGCAGCATGTGGCAATCCACCACACTACCTCCCTATCCCTGTTCCTATGCCCCAGGAACAGGCTCCAGCCCCACGAAGAGTGGCGTGCTGGGAGCTGCAGCCTCACAAACTCCAGGCAACGACATCTAAACCACACCATTACCCCTGCAAGAAATGCTCTGCAGCAAAGCGACCTCCTGACAGCTCAGGAACACCCCCCAAATGGGAAAGGATGTCAGAAACTGCAACTGTGAGTCAAAGCAAAAAACTCAAGATGCCGCCTGACCCAGGGCTATGAGCTGGAAGGAGGAGAGAGGGAAGGATCCCTCTTGCCCCACACCCAGCCTGGAACCCCCATTTCAGCTGCTGGCATCACAAAAATTCCCTGTGCAGCTGGGATACACTCAGAGGGGCAGGAGGAGCTGGTGTGCCCAAACAGAGGAGGGGGGGGGGAAGGCTGGTGCCTCTGCCTGACACTTTCCTACTCCTGGGATGCAGGGCAGCATCCCCTGCTCCCAGCCTGCTCCCTCCAGCTCAGCTCCTCACCCGAATTGTCAAGAAAAATAATGGAGAAATTAAGAAAAAGCCCTCTGACTAAACCCAATTTCAATATTTATTTTGAAAAAATTACTGAATTACAGAACAGGAAACCCACTCAATAAAACCAGCCAGGCTGGCATTTGTCTTCCTTGGAATATGGCACTTTCTTTAAGCCACGTTAATATTTAGCCTCTCTTTTTTCCCCCCATTTGTGTGTATTTATTTTTACAGAGGGGCTGGGATGTGACTAAGATCATTACACGTGTAACACTGCAGTGAAGTGATAATGTGTTTAAGGTTAAATGGGAGAAACATGACATCTGACTAATAAACTTTTTCCTGTGTTGTGACTCCATAAACAAAGGGAAACACACTGTGCTGCTGCTGCTGCTGGGAGGAAAGGGGAGCTGGGTGGTTTTTTTTTTTTTTTTTTTGCAAGGCCTTTGTTTGCTCCACACTGTATCATTAGATTCAAAGAGGCTTTGCCGAATACAACAGATATGAAATGTGTGATGTTCATTTTAAAATTACAAGTACAGCCTGCTATTGACCATCTAATTATGCTGAGTTCCATTTATAAACATAGCTAACCACTAAGTTTATAGAGACTTTTTGTGCTGCTTTAATAGGATATTGATCGAGAGCAAGGTTTGAGTGGACTGCCATTGAATTGTGTAATGGCATACAAAAGGCAAGGTCACGGCAACTGTTCACTCTATGCCTGCAGTCTATTTTTTATTATAATCTTTTTTTCTCCCTCTCATACCCAAGCCCACACAGAGAGTTTTGGATAGCAGTGCTTTCCTAAGGAATACAGAGTATCTTTTTAAATGTTAATTTTCATGCTGCTGACTTTAACTGCCTTCACTACTGTAGTGCTTAGTATAGCAGAAATCACACAGGCTGCAGCTCAGGGAGAGAAGGTTTATCACACCCCGGCTGCACACACGTGTCTGTGAGGAGCAGAAAAGCCTCTCCTGGGCTACAAAAAGGCATCCACTGCCCAGCCCAGCCCCTCCACAAGAGCCAGGGCACCCCACACCTTGCCAGGACGTGCTGGAATTCACTTTCCCTGTGGGAAAAGCTGGACGAGAGGCACGAGGAGGCTGCTCTGTGCCTGGAGTGCTGGCAGTGCCTCTCCATCCCAGCCCTTGCCCTCATGGCAAGGACACTTCAGCCCCTGTGTGCATCCCCAAAGCTCCATCCCCAAGCCTGGCACCTGCAGCATCAGCGTGGATGCAGGATCCTGAGCTTCCCAAAACGTCCTGCTCACACATATGGAATTAGTCGGAGTGTTTCAGGGATAATCAGCTGGACCATTTCTGTGTGTGCACAGGAGCAGTGAGCAAGTTTGTGTGCTCGTGGTGCCACAGGCCCACCAGAAGGATCAGAAATCCCCCCTGCTGCTCCTCACAGCACACAGCACACGTTGAACCCAACGTGTGGCATTCTCAGGCCAGGGTGCAGTCAGAATTCCCTTGTTTATCAGCACGAAGAATGATGTCATTTTGACAAATAACACACCACCAAACAAATATGTTTGATTTGGCTCTAGCCAGCTTTCATAAATCCTAAATCTTTCTTCACATCCTGGGCAGTGCAGTTTATCTGGCTGCTTGAATGACCTCTGAGGGAGGAGATCTTCCCAGCACATGGTGCAGACTCCAAGCCAAGGAGGGATGCATTCCCCATGCCTTTCTCCCTACTCCAGCCCTTGCCAAGGGAAGGGGACACTTGGCACCAGAGGGTCTCCTCCAGTGCCCTGAGATGGCTGCCCACAGCCAGGGGAATATTTTCCTAACAAGGGGAGAAAAGGAGGAGGTTTCACTTGGCCAACAGCTGGCTGTCAGCTCCCAAACCCGTCCATCCCCGGCGCTTCTGCCTCTGAGCCTTTTGTTGTCAGCACAGACCTCTCCAGAGAGGGAAGAATGAAGCCTCTGTTATCTGGAAGGGTCTCCCCAGTATCTGGGGTGACAGACAACACTCAGGGAGGAGCTCACACCCTCTGCCTGCTAATAATGGAGGAGAACTGACAGCATGAGCTGCAACACCCACATCAGATGGGCTGGAGAGGAGTCTTTGTTTTTTCAGATGCACATCTCTGATCTCTTTTCTCTGTTTTACTAGGCTCTGCAAGACTCAGCAGCTGGGCAGCATTTCGAAAGAAAATCTGCATCTATAGGACTGAAGAAAGCAAGTTTCTGTTACCAACACAGTCTAGACTTGTTCAATAGCTCACAGAAAGTGTGATGATCAGCACTGATAGGCAAGGTAGATAACAGAAACAGCTGACCTTTCACTTGATTAATTCATTCCCCAAATTTGCATGACGGAGACAACTGCCTCTTACTTGAGACTCCTTGTCATGTGGACCTCTGGGAACTTTACTAAATAAACCCGGCACAAAACTGCTACCCACAATATTTTGTAAGATTAATTTTGGATAACAGCTGCCTCAGGTCAGTTAAAACTTGGGGAAATCACTTATTTCTATCATTGTATTACCAAAAGCAAGCACAGGAAGAAAAATAACAGTGGGCATACACAAAGATGACCTTTTTGGAAAGAGAACTGGTCTCAAATCAGGACACAGGAACATGCAGACAACCCAGAGAGGGTTATATCAACTTTAAATGACCTTGCTTACCAATTTAGGCAAATATGCAGCAATTACCTTGTTCCTCTGTTATGTTAAATAACTCTTTGAATATAAGCATGTGAGTTAATACTGAGTTTTCTGGGAATGTGCTGCTAGACTTGACACTAAACATATCCTACTGGGTAGCCAGGGCATGTCAGGCTGTGGGCTTCTCAGACCTCATAAAGTAAACAAGGTTAAGGCTGGTCAGTACATGTCTGGGGCATCTCCAAGGAAAATCCAGGGTGCTATCAAAAGCAGTGTAGCTAAATCAGTTGCTGGCACTCTTCCCTCTGAGTCAGTTCTGAAGTGATATCCCGATATGCTTTGGGGACACTATTTTTGGTAGAGGTGCTGGCTTGTAGACAGGATATAAAACTGAGGTCTTGACCTCCCAGGATTATTAAAGAGCCCGTGAAAAACAGTGCAAACTCCCGTGTCTGGAACAGATAAAAGCTGAATCTTTGTATTTTTTCCCACCAGCACCTTCTTTCTTATTTCTAATAAAGTCCATGCTCTTCCTGCGTGCAGGTGCCCCATCCTTGAAGGTGGTGCACGTCAACTGCAAGCAGAGGGAACATCTCAGACACAGCTCATAATTTGCAAAACATGCTGAGTGCTAGGATTTCTGATACCCAGTGTTTCAGTTTAGTTACAATAAAATATCAGGGAAAATTAATAAGCTTGAAACACGATGCTCACGAGGTCAGTGCCAAGCTCTGGGGGAGGCTGGGAAGGCTCCAGCCAGGAGTGGGGCACTTTCCTAGGAAAAGTGCACACATGGAGCACGGCTGACAGAGTCCAGAGCTCTGCTGTGCAGGGCTCCTCCAGGCAAGATAAGGCTGTGGGGGAATGGGATGCCTTGCAGAGGGGGAGGGTGAACCCTTCAGGCTTCAAAAGCCTCACGCTGTCACACTGAAATGAAGTGACACAGCACGGAGACACTAAAATCCTGGTGACAACCTGGGCTTGTCCACCCTGGCTGCAGGAACCAGCCCGTCAGATGCCAAAGTCTCTGCTGAAGCACTTCAGCAAGAGAACTGATTTGCAAATGTGCTGAGCACTCAGCAGCTCCTCTTGACTTCTGAGTCCTCTTAACTTTGCCCTGCTCTCAAAATTCCCACCAGTTGTCAGGGAAGGAAGCTCAGGAGAAATGTTTTCTTCAACGTTTTTCTCTCTGCCTCTCTCCAGGGCACAGAGCTCTTATGTATCTCCCACTTGCCATGCTTTCCTTGAGCCATCCTTTTCTTGTAAAGCAAATTTCCTAGCTAGTGTCTTTCCAAAAGAGGAAATAAACCAGGAAAATCCTCGGAGAAACTCTGTGTTCTCATGCAAAACCACAGATTTTCTACTAGGTTTGTGCCAGTTAGATTCTAGCCCCAGAACGACTTAAATTACACTCCCAGAGCCAGCACACAAATACATATTTCTGCTGTCTAGGAGGAGAACCATTTTTATCATTTAAAGAGACTGGTTGTACCCTAAGGTTTTAAAGGGGCACAGAGCTGAGGGTTTCACCTGGAGCAGTGGTGATTGGTGATAATGTGATAATATCTCCACACTAGCTGGAGAAAGTTCTCAGAATGGTTTGGGTTGGAAGGGATTTTAAAGATCACCCAGTGCCACCCTGCCATGGGCAGGGACACCTTCCACAACACTTCCAGGTTGCTCCAACCTGGCCTTGGACACTTCCAGGGATGAGGCAGCCACAGGGAAGAATTTTTTAGATCCCTAAAGAAATCCCTACAGGCCTGGCTTTGCAGCAGTGTCTCTGCAAGACCCTGTCCACACTCCTTCCTTGGGCTATCTGGATTATGTCATAGCAAAATACAATCAATGCACCTTTGATCAATGGAACAGGGTGGTGACAGGGGCTCTTAATTTGGTGTTGTTAGTGAGTATTGACAAGCCTGTAATGATCATGCTGCAGTGTGTCACTCATGCTGGGGGCATTAGCATTCTTTAAAGGTCACATCCCAAATCCTTCTAGAAGCCAGAATTCCATACAGCTAATGGAAAACGTGGGCCTGGGGAGGTCAGGATGTGTGAGACTATCAGGGCTGAAGTTGGCAGAGTTGTTGGCGTTATTAATGACTTCAGCAACTTGCAGGTGTACAAACCCCAAATTCAGGGACTACCCTGAGTTGGAAGGAACCCACACAGATCATCAAAGTCCAGCTCCTGGCCCTGCACTGGGACAGCCCCAAAAATCACACACATGGACGTACACGTGGCATGGATGGACACAGTGTGAAAAAACAGCACCAGAAAATTTCCAGGTTTGTGTGCACAGGTCAGGTAATTTCCAGAGGTCTGGTTATAATACCAAATACAATACCCTTGGATCCTCCAAGGGATCCATGGGAGGTTGATTTCTGTATGCATTTGTCTGCACTCTGCCCATTTTCAGCTGGGTACCAGACAAGCTTATCAACTTGCACATGCAAGTTTGCAGAATCAAATTATTTATCAGCTGACTTTAAAATTCTGCTGGTTTTCACCCATTAAATTTTCATCCATTAAAAGAAGTGGCACATAAATGCTGTCCACTGGCAAGAAAGAGGGGAGAAGAGAGTCCTAATTTTCAAGATGCTGTTTCTGAACTGAGGAAGGGAACAGTAAGAATCAAAGAAAAAAAAAAAAACTTGGATTGCAGAAACCACATAAATCAGACACAACGTGATACTTACTTTGTGAGACTCTTACTAGCTCAGTCACACTGAAAACACCTGATGTGACAAAACTGTCCTGGAAGCCCAAATGTCCTACAAAACAAACAGAGAGAGAGAGAGAACTGCGATTAGCTTCAAGCATTTAATGACAGTATTCTCAAATACTTTACTTTCATTTAGACTTAAAATGTGACATCTAATTTCCCACTTAGCAGTAATTATTGTTTATGTAGGTGGGTAACCAGTCATACAGCTATGTAGGCTGCTTTGTGGTTTCTATCTAGAGGTTAGGAAAGCTAACATGACACATCAGCAGGGAGATTTTTACATGTTAAAGCATCTCAACAGGAAATCTGAAACAAAAGAGGACTATTTTAATAAACCGTTACCTTGGATGACCCCTAATGACTTCACAACTGAAATGAAAATACTGTACCTGGGAAACAGACAGGACAGCTAAGTTCCATAATCGTTTTAAACATTATTCTCTAAAGAAACATCTGATCAGGATTATCTACCCATTCATTCAAACCAAACAAGATTTAAAGACATATTCTTCATTTTTCTAAGGTTACACTAGGGGGATCTTAGAAGAGCAGATGGTTAAAAAAAATCAAATTAAGGCCTTTACAACTAAAAAAAAAATTAAATTCTAATTTAAATTTAAATTAAAAGCTAGGTTTTGAAAGGAAAAATAGATCTCTGCATAAGAAAAAGTATTAACTTGGTGGGCTGTCTGTAGGAACCTGGGCGGATGCATCCACACTCACTCCCCTGCGCAAGGAATGCCTCTCCACTCGGTATCAAAATGTGATGGCACTTTACATAACAGCATTTTCCTTCTTCTCTGCAAACATGCCTACCACCAAATGTTCATTTAATTTTCACGGGTATGCTCAGTGACAAAGGAGCAGCCCGGGCTGCAGCCCAGGCCGGGATCCATCCGGCGGGACAGAGCCGGACTTCCATCAGAGGGAGGGCTGCTCTCCCCTGGCCAGGCTGACCTCCTGCTTGGAAATCGGGGTCACAGGAGAAATCGCAGGATAAAGGGATTATTAAAAGAACTGTAAAGTCCTGCTTGCCCACAGGATAAGTGGCATACCTTTTTAGGTTGTCCTACTTAGAGTCACCGATTCCGGCGCACGCACACATTTATTATTGAATGTTTTGCAGGGGCACCATCTGCTCTGTTGTTAATTGTTTGTCAGGCTCAGTACGATTTCCCTGCGTTCCATATATTCTCCTGCACCCCACGCTCATGCTGGGGGTACCTGTGCACCTTTCTCTAGTGGTCAGAACAACAGGACTAATGCCACCTGCACGTTTGTACTCCTGGCTTTCTTTCTGGGGTTGTTTAAACAAACCCAGAACATCCCACTGCCATCTCTACCTGTGGAACGGGATGCAGAAAGAATGCACCTTCTCTACAGGTCTACAGAGGGTGGAATGCCAGGCAATGTGTCAGGGAAAGTCTTGGGAGAGATCTGCAGGGAGGTGAGCCTTTCACCTCCAGCCAAGATCTGATGGAATTCTGCTCCCACACAGAAGAAGTTCCCTGTTTCTGCGAGGAGCCCACGGTGCCAGATGAACACAGTCTCTAAGCTAACAGACTCGAGACAAGTTTCTGCATCAGGCATGTTTTTATACTCCAGAAATAATGATGAGTTTTCAAACTGTGTATATGTATATCTTTGGGCATCCTTGTGTATGTGTGTATACATATGTATTATGTACACAAACATATAAATATACACAAATCTGTCATGCTCCAGCTGTAGATAAATGTACTATAAAATATTGAAATTGATGCTGAAATTCAACACAAACAAATTCCTCAATCTGCAAACAAGGTTTTTATTTACATCAAGAGAATAAATTTTTCCCTACTTCAAATGAAAAAAAAATGTTCTTACGGGCTTTTATTTTTCCTTATTTTCAATTTAGAAATAGCTCCCAGATAGCTGTAAGTGCTCTTGCCTGATCTGCTTTGTATTTTCCCACAATAAAGGTGATGACTACCTCATTCTGCTTTTTAGAAACGGTTGCTGCCCATACACAACGTTTGCTCATCGCCGATTTCCCAAGTATTTTTAATATGAAGATCTACTTTTCATATGCTGCAGCAGACCTGCCTATTGAATTAAATGATCTGTGAATTAAAAATAATTCTCTTAGGTCTTCACTGAAACCACTCATGTGCCTAAAATTAAGCATATGCTTAAGTGCCTTGCTGGATCAGGGCCAGGACGCTTACTACTCCGCAGAGCCCTTCAGAGGGAAGCCAGTCCATGCTATGTAACTTCTCACACTGTGCTCATCATGGCAGCATCTGAGCAACTTCCAGAAGTGCATCCAGCAATGCCACGAACATCTGCCACGTGTTGTTTTTTTCTGCAGCACACCACACTGGCTCTGCTCTGCTGTCCACTCCCACCTGCATTTCCCAGGCAGGTTCCCGCCGCACGGAGAGTGAAGGTGAAATTTAAATATGGAAGGGGGAAAAAAAAAAAACAACCAAACCTTGAATCACAGCCACTATGGGATATTTGGCTGATTTTTTAAAGGGAAAGCCCAGAGCCCTTTGTAATTAACCAGTAAAAATGTGATTGTGGCAAGGCAAACCATGTCACACACAGGTGAAACCAGAAATGAAAGCGCCATTTTAAATACATTCTAACTCTCAGGGCATGACAGAAGATGAATAAGTTATCTTGGGCATGCTGACTTCAGTAGTCCTATCTTGGGTACACTTGAAATGTCCACTTACTCCTGCAGGAACATTCCTTATTGGGAGCACATGTAATAGCAATCATTAAACAACAGCACACAACGACCATGGTTAGATTTTCACCCTTCAACACCAAAAATAAACATTTCACAAATGGAAGGTGAATTTCACAACTCTCCAATTTGATATTTACTTATAAACATTAAGAAATCGGGGGCTTGCCCTGCCAATCATTAAGAATACCCTGATAACCACAAAAGCCCTGCCCTTGGCTTAGAGCTGGATCATGAATGTATGTCAGGGTATGGCTGGTCTGTGAATTTGCAGTTCAGTAGAACCCCATGGAATTTTTAAAGGTTTGCCTGGATGGCTCAGGCTGCAAAATCCAGGCCTAAGACTCTCGTTTTTGCTGACCTTGGATAACAATGAGAGAAGAAAACGAGGGAAATAGTACAAAGAACTTAAATGTGTAAAAGAAGAATTACTGGGAAACAGTAGCACTGACAAAAGATGTGAAGCTAACATCATTAACAGGAGTCAAAATGTATCAGTTTGGCTGAATTCTGAATGAGGAGAAAAACAGGTAAAGCCAAGCAATTACATACGCAGATGTTAGCATTAAGAAGCTCCTGCACTGAAAAGTTGATTAAATATCCAGAAATCTCCCAAGATTTACTTTTCATAGGGCACTTTACTGAAATACTCTCACTGTGATACTTTTGCTCGGTATCCAAGAGATGGGATATTGAAACTGCTGTGTATGACGGTTGTGTCTGCAGCTTTGCGCAGCAGCCACAGTTGGGTAGTAAAGCAGGTGCTCAAAATGAACCTTGCAGAGTTCATTCATTGCAATTTTGGGTACAAATTAAGACACGTGGCTGGCCAGGGCAGGCCCTGACTCAGCAAAGCCGCTGGAGCACGTGCTTCACTTCCACCACACGCCTGACTCAAGCACGTGCTCACTGCCCTGCCAAACAAAGATGGGCTGACAGCCTCCAGGAGGAATCAAAATAAATGGTTCAATCACTCCTTTAGTCAAGTCTAGGGGTAGGTAGGACTTAGCTCATCATCTAAGATCTTACTTCAGCCCACAAGGATGATCATCTTTCCGTAAGGGGGAAAAACACCCAGGATAATAAAACCAAATTGAATAAAAAAGATCAGGATAGTAACTAGTAAATCACTGTGCACAACAGCATGACTTTATTGTACCAGGTACCATATGGAAAAAAACATTTTTCCATAACTTGATGGCTGCTTTAATTGGGGAGAAAATTCCCAGTGCCATTTACATATTCTTCTTTTGGATCCCAGCAAAGAAGCCAGAAGAAAAGGCTTCAATTGCTGGAGCCTAATTCTGATCTCTCTCAAAGAAGTTTTAAACAAATCTTTCTACACCGATCAAATAGAGTTTCACCTCATTTTCTCCTAATTTACACTGGCAGAGGAGAAATCAGGATTAGGACTTGTTGTCTAGTGCTATTTGTTTTGAATTATTAAGCAAACATTCCTATTTCAATGAGTAAACGTGTACAAAGGCAACTAACCTTCGTCCTAAAATGGAGTTTACAGGGAGAGTATTGTCTGCTTTCCCAATTAATGCAGTAAAAAGGAGTCTCAGACCCTGAGCTACCAATCAAGAGCTTGTGTTGTAGCTTGAGAAAATCATGACTGATGCAATTACTTTTATGTAGAAAGTCTGAATATAGTCTATAGGTTAAAGTTCATGGGGTTATTGTTCCTTAATTGAATATCTGAAGATGTTTTCAAGGTGCTCAAGGTATTATTGTTATTTAATTAGCAGGCTTCCTTGCGTAATCCAACAGTATTATTTTTGCTATAAAATAGTTAGATTGCACCGTAAATATACAAGGTATTTTCTAAACAGAGATACAGCCAGTTTCCTGGAAGTCAAACTTAAATAAAACCGGGAGAGGGTTACTCCTTTGAAGATGAAGAAGTTCAAATCCAGTTATTTTTCTTCCACTACAATCTGAGTGACAGTGCATTAAACTTCAGAGAACAGCTTTTTGGGACACTTTGATACCTTTTCAGTGTTTTGAAATTACACAAGTCCCCCAAACTAGCACTGAACCCATTTCTAAGGCTTTTTTCATGTTCAGCATCTCACTATACATAGCCATCTTAAAACCTTAAAATAGCAATAATCAATTAGGGTCTCAAGCCTATTATCTTAACCAAATGCCTGATTAAAAGAAAAGCCCTCTCTGCTCGAAGTGCAACTTGATTCCTTTTGGTTTTATCCTCTATCTAGATAATCCCATGTTTCGCAAACAATGCGGAGCAATAATGTGGATGAGAAAATTAATGTCTGTATCACACAGCACACGCAGGCCTGGAGAGA